AAACATTGGACCTAAGGCAGAATCTTCATTTGTTGATCTTTGAAGTACTATTTCAAATTGACAGTGTTATGGCTTCAAGTAACTGAAGTGTACTATTTAAGGTGTTGAAATTTATGGAAGATAAACATCAGTTGGGGTTTTAGTGCCACTCGGCATTTGTGCAAATCTCACTTTTGACCTCATAAACATTTTAACTCGCTATTTGTTTCAAAGTTCTACAGAACAACACAGAAGGCGTTCAAACGTAACGAGGAAAACCTTTGTATTAACATCTTAACTTTATAATGCTGCCAACAGTTCACACATTTCTTCTGTGCCTGAGAAACCATTTCAAGCTAAAGCAGCTTGTGGTGGATGGAGGAGAGTATATGCAATCAGATACAAGCAGCCAAACTAAACGAGAGTATTTCTTCTAATTTTCTGGGGACCGCAGCAGACATTTTGTATTACTAAAAACCAAAAATCATGCGTGTAAAATAAAGCAATTTTTAAAATCTTATGATCACAAACAAACTGAGGCCAGACATCGATTTATTATGTTCTAGTACAAATGGTCCAATTAAGCTGGTCCATTAGATACAATTCCTCTGCATGTGCTTTTTTACTTCCTGTTTGGCCATGATGGCTTTTTGTTGTCAAAATACACTTTTTTAAAATGATCTGATTATGTTAGAATGATGTTAAAAGTATCTTAATATGTGTTTAATATTCATGTTTTTGTAGTTTGAATAAACATATATTTGGTGTATAGATTCATATTTTTTCTGAAATATCCATGCATTAAATGTATGTTATGCAAGGAGTAATATTAGAATTAAATGTATTCCCTCATTTATCTCCAAACTGAATCATGAGAGGAAATTTCCTGCTCAGATCCTACAAATCACTTTGTGGAATCTTACATGTACTCTCTTGCCTCGAGCTGCAGGGTTAGCAGTTGCTGCAGCTAGGCTGATATGGTGATGGATGGCCATTTAAATAAAAACAAAACACATCGCTATAAATCAAGAGCAATTATTGCAGAATTAATGAACATGATGAGCTAACTGTGCAACAAAAAAATAAAAAATAAACTCCACTTTCATTTACTCTCTGCAGAGGCCCACTGATTAGGGCAGAACTCTAAATTATGTGCTAGCTTGTTTATATTTTCGTGATAGTTCCTCTTTCACTGATAGTTAAAGCTAACCTCTGTCCTGTTATTAGAGCAATCTGAGGAAAGCAAGCAAAAACAGAACATGGAGCCTTCCTTATCTTCCACTGTTGTACAAATTTGGAAAGTGCAATTTAGAGCTAAATTTGTGCTTTGTGCAATTGTTTGTTAACAAACAAAAAACTATCTGTTATAGCTTTCTATAAAAATAAAAGAGAAGTACAAAACAAAAAGCATAATGACTCCTGTATCTCTCCTTTTTTACGTCACAGCCCTGTATTTTATTTGTATTCTATATTACACCAACATGGACTTAACTTTAGCAACCAGCTGCTATATATAATTCCTGTGATTAATCAAACATAGCCAATTAAGCTATTGATTAAGCAATTAATAATATGCACCAATGGGATTGGTTTTTACTTTTTGATACTGTGGCAGAAATGGACAAGTAGCCCTAAAAAAATATCCCTCCAGGGTGAAACATTGTGGTGCAGCATCATTCAGTGATGATGCTCCTCTTTAATTGGGACAGGGGAAGCTACTGAAGGAAAGATGGACTGGACTTAATACAAAGCAATCCAGGAAGAAAAGGTTGAAGAATGGAAAACATTAGAGTTTAGCGGTACAACATCTTAAGTTCAAACTGACTGAGTTTGTGTAATTTTGCTAAAAACAGTCAAAGATATCGATCTCCATATTTAGCCTACAATGCTGGTAGACATGTTACTTACAGCTGTAATAAATGGATCAGGTTTTGCATTTGTATTTATAAAAAATTTGGGAACTAATGTATAGTTAACTTCCTGCTTTATAAAGCCAGATTAAATTATTTTGTTATATAAAATCCCAATAAAATATGTTAAAAGTTTGTTTTGGCAAAATAGGAATAAAAATGAACCTTTGCACCTGTGCCTGTTAGCCTAGAAATTAAATCCCATAATCAATAAAACATCAGAAACAACTTGGAGCTCCCTAAATGTGTGTGTGTGTGAAAAAAAAAAGAGAACCTTGTATGAAATTCCTCCAGGTTCCAGCCATGTAAATTCAAAATGTTTCTGCAGAGGAAAAAGCTGTCAGTGACTAGACTGACCTTGTGGAAAATATGAACATAAGCGAATAAAAGTACAAGACTTCATTATTAAATTCCATTTCCACTTTTCTTACTTGTGCTCTTAACATTTACCGTGTCCCACATTTTTACACGCCTAAACCAAAAAGACTTCAACACCCTCCATAAGCTTGTTTATATTACAGCATTTTTTTTTTGGTCTACAAAGCTGCATTTTGTAGATAAAACCCACAAACTGCAATAAAACTAGCCTAGTTTTCCTGCTAACTTCTCTGATTCTAATCCACTATTTCAACTAGATCAGCTTAGCTGAGCTGTCACCGTAATGTGCTCAGTCATGTGTGCAAAATGTTAAAGTATGCATGCAAACATAAACACACACTCACACATCTTAATGCCAGCTTCACACTGTAATAGGCTGCTGTGCTGCTTGCAGTCGCTCCGGCCCACATCTGAAGGAGATGACTTGGCAAAAGAACTAAGATTCTGTCTCTTATTGCTTATGTCAGCTGAAAGTTGTGTTATTAACCAAAATGGAGGGGCGGGTGGAGGGGGTAGAAAAACTTATAGGATAATTCAAGCACAAGCATTTTACAACTAAAGTCATAAACGGCCTGTCAGTTCTATGCAAAGGTTTTTAAGATTAAAATACAAAAAAAGCAAAAACATACCTTAGGTATTGTTCAAAAGTAGTCATACTCCTTAATTTATGGTCATACTACAATCACACAATTAACTGTGTCTCACTTGGATTTTATGTGATAGCTAAATGCAAAGTACTGCACAATTTTAACGTAATTTTAATTATTGAAGGGTTTCTACATTTATACAAATACATTTCATTAAAAGTTTGCAATATGTTTATTTATAGTCTCTTTATTATGACGGAGTATTAGGCCCAGGCTAGAGATTTTTAAAATTTTTATTTTGAGAATAAAATCGTAACATTACAAGAATAAAGTCATATTATGAGAATAAAGTCATAAAATGATGAGAATAAAGTCGCAACGAGAATAGTCACAAAATTATGAAAATAAAGTTGTAAAATTACGAGAATAAA